AACATAGTTGAACTCTGGTGACCTTGCCCTTTGTTATATAATATAATTCCCTTTATCATAGTTTGATTCAATATAAATATGCATTGTCATAATTAATTTTGAATAAAAACAAGTTTTGGGGTTGAACCAACAGTGGGGAATCATCTACCGAATGTCCTTAAAAGATGTAAATATCTTACAAAAACATTGGTGCCTTATTTGTTTAATTATTTTAAGGGACATAATTTCCAGCTTTATTCAAAGTAATTCAGATATTTTAGTATAAAAACAAATGTCTCATTGCAAAAAAAAGTGCTGCATTTAGATGTGAATAGATTCATAAAACATGCAAGATAACAGAAAATTTTAGCTGGCTTTAGTCCAAGTATTTTGTACAGGTGTCTGTCAAAAATTAATGATTTATTGAGACAAATATGAACTGCCTCATTGTGTGACTACTGTATTATATGAAAAGTAAAAAAAAGCACCCTTTATGAATAGCTATCATGTTGCAAGCTCTGCTTTGTATGCAAATCAACTTAAATAGTTAGTTCGTGTCCAGTGGAGGGAGAAGTCAACAGTACTGTTGCCTCCTGAGAATCTACATCTTCAAACACTGCAATCTTTGAAGTGCGTTTTTTAAACTAGTATTATAAAAACTCTATCATTCTGTTCTAATAGCTGAAACATCTTCCTGTGAGTTTTCATTTGTCGAATGAACTGTTTGTTAAATACAGAATACATATATTTTAGAATAATTTTCTTTTTAAAATGTGGATGAAATGTTTTGCCAGATTTTCTCAATTTTTGCATGATATTTTCATACAGGACATCTGTTGTTCAAACTCAGGGAAGACTTTATACTGATGAATAAGGTGACCAAGTTTGATAAAGTTTGGAATAGAATTAGTAAAGTTATTATGCACACAATAACAATTATTAACGACGCCGACGACGACGACGACAACAACAACAACGACAACGCCGGACAAAATTTTTCCCTTAATATACCTTTCCCTTTCATCTTTGATGGTACGGGCAAGGTAATAAAGAGTGTCCCAGTGTGGGACAATATTCCCTACTTATAACTACCACCTAGATAAGACCAGTGACAAACGGTGTCTTATCTTGCCAGTGTCGTCCCCATAACAAAACAACTGCTGATAGGGTGACGGGGTCGGCATGCCCGAGAACGCTAGACTCAAACCCAGATTCTTGGGTGACTAGCATTCCAAAGAAAAAGAGGCAGGCCGAAAGTGAGACCTGGACACATCCAAGGAGCGCTGACGGGAAAAAACTTCTCCACACAAATCTGTAGCAGAGACTACTCTATCGCATATGCGCAGGGATTCCTGATATTGTCCGGGCCGGGTCAGATCCACTATGACGGGATCCACCCTAAAAGGACCCTCCTCAATGGTTTGGGTGTCTCTTAGGTAATAACTGGTAAAGACGTTTGCATTCTCCAGAAGCCCACCCTCAGTATTTATTTGAGGGGGGCACCTGATGCAAGAGCCAATGATCGCAATCACACAAACCCCATGCGCTCGTACTTGGTGTCTCTCTAGACCCTGTGTCGAGTATGCCAGATGGTCATAACCCCCCCCCCCCCCAACTCCTTGTTGATATCGGAGAGCAAGACTCTGTGGCCTCGAACTATGGGCAGAAAGTGTATCAGTGCTAAGTGCACTGCTTTCAGTTCGAGCCAATTGATATGGCTGACCTGAACCTAATGCAGGGACCATATTTCTTGGGCTTGTTTGTCCAATAGGTGCGCTCTCCAACCTGTTAGGGAGGCACCTGTTTATCAGAGTCATAGCTGTGGTGAGTGGGTCCAGCTTGGAGTCCTTTCCGCTTGCTCTTGGCAGAAGCCAAACTGACTCACGGATCTCACCTGAACCAACTGGACCTCCCCCACCCCCTTTCATTTCAGGATGGAAAGAGCAGTCTCGGTGCTTCGTTATCCCACCATCCTGAAATGAAAGGGGGTGGGGGAGGTCCAGTCTGCATAACGGCGGCGAAACCGCCAAAACAGCATACCGCTGCACAGAGGCAGCCCCTGCCACGAGAGCCAGATGACACTGCATGATACCCCGCGTAGCCGTGTGGTGTCCCACCAATGGCTACATGTCTGCTGATCTAGGAGGCTGGTGCGTTCCACCTTTGAGACTTCAGAATGCTGGAGGTGCAAAACAATGCGTTCCAGGAGGTCGGCTACAAATTCAAAAGTTGAGGGTCGCCACTCTGCTCTCAGGGTGTGGATTGTTTCCAACTGAACTGCCGAAATATTCCATGAACGCTGCTATCCCCTTTGCCCGTCCCACAGAACCAAAAATTTGAGGTACCGGAGCAAGGAACCAAGGGATCCGGTCGGGCGTGAGATTTGGCTCCAGACTCTACTGGCTTCGGTCTCTAACACCGCATCGATCGGGTAGGGCTTGATCCAGCGGAAAGGTTAAGAATGAGATTGTCCCACCTTAGGGACTTAGGCCTCTATTCTGCAGGGGACCAAGGACCGTCCATCTACACCATCTGTGCATTCCCAGGATCAAGGGTGGGGGTCGAACATCAGATCACTAGGATCAATATCCTGCCCTGCATTGTCCCCTCCAAAATCAGAGGCCTGACTGCCAGATTTCTCTCTCCATCGTTGGCTGAATCGCAGATTAATACCTACAGTTCAAAATAGTCATTTTGACTGACCGGAGTCTATGGTGGGTAATTGAACGTAGTGAATTTTACGTGCTGTCATGCTGAGGTGTCAGATTTCAGACAAGTATTTTTAACTACTATTTGTGTAACAAAATATTTATTGACTACAAATACATTTTTTTAACAATGAAATAAAAACATTAAATGAATACTTTGTTTTTATAATGCTTGAATGATGTGAATGCGAGTGTACATCGGCTGTAATACAAAAAACAGCGTCCCCAGTGGCAAAATAACCCTAAACGAAATTTTCATGCATTTTAATGTTAGCGCAGAGAGCCAAGCCACGAACCACATGAAAAAAAAACTTCGCAAATAATTTTCGGTTCTACAGTACCTTGACCTTCATCTACAGATACGGTCAAGGTAAAAATGGCCACCATGCAGCCAGGCATTCTGCATCCAATTTGAAAAACAAAATTCAGTAGATCAAGGTCCAATAACGTCTGATGTTTGTTTCAAATTTCAATCAAATCCATCCATGCATGGCCAAGATCCAGGTTAGGAATAGCAGAAATAGTTGATTTTGATAAATTTTTAGCACTAAAATGACCGCCATTTTGCAATCTTGAATCAGATTTGCAAAACCAATAGACGTGCACATGTTTATCAAGTGAAATAAAGGTTATTGTTGTCTGGACTGCAAAATCTTAACTATATGTCTGACATGCCAAGTATAAAGAGAGTATACAAAGTTTGTGTGTATTTTTAGGGTGGCATAAGATAGTAGTGAAGTAGTTCATTCATCTCAAACTAATATAACTGCATAGTGAACTAAAGGAATAAACTGAACTGATCTTTCCAAACAATCCACTGTGGTTAAACATTTACTAGATCTCAGTACTTGGTTGCTGTTTACGGCAGTGGACCGCAGAGTGAGCATTATATCATGACTATTTTAAAATCAGCCACCAGAAAAGCAGACTATCAAGTATCATTTCATTTTAATAACTCAGACAAGAGTTCGCATGGTAAATTAAAATTAATGACATATTTCAATAAGCTCAATCTTATTAGTCAAAATATATTGTATGGCTTTGAATGCAGATAGTCCTTTTCTACTAACTTTCCAAATCCATGATTGATTACTTTTTCTTACCATACATGTACTAAAAATAATAGCTTTGATGAGACATTTCTCAAAACATTCTCATCATTGCTAATATTAAATATGACATTCAATGATGGCTGGTACATGAAGCCAAGGCACTTTAAGAAACTGAACTGAAGGCAAATTTAATATTCATTATTGTTAAGACAAATATACATCTCAACACGACATGGGAAAATGAATTCTATTTTTTTCATAGATCTTTACATTTCTTTCCCTTTCTCACTCTTGTTTTCTCTGACTTACCTATAAATATATCAAGCTTACCAGCAGTACACACCACACGTATCAATGCATCAATTGTGGGTGCAATTTGACTTGTGTCAAGCATACTGGGTTTACTAGAAAAAAATTGTACGACTAATTTTTCCTTGTGTGCAAACGTAGATATTTTTTTAATTTTGTGAACAAATCCGAGAGGACAACTGATATTCTTGAAGTTTCATTTGTGAAAAACATTCAAAAGTTCACGCTGGTTTCTGTTTAGACAGGTTTTACCATGTTTTTTCTTCTTCTAAAATTCTACTTGTTTATTCAGTGCCTAATGAACCAAAAGTATTCCCTTAATAGTTTACTTAGTATTGAACAAAATTCATTTAAAAGAAGTGAAAAGTGTAAAAGTTTAGTTTTGAGAGTGTAAAAAAAAACCTGTCCTGATCAGATTTAATCACTGCACTATATAGGTCTTACCTGGGATTTATTCTTTTAGCCACCACTACAATTTCCTGAAGATAGTCAGGCGTCTTTACGTTAGTAGCATTGCCCATTGTGATGGCAACAAGCCTTTCTGTTAAATGTTTGCATGTCTTTAAAATTTCTATACAGTGTGGCATAAGTCCTCTGTAAAGAGAGAAAGACATGCAAAGTAGATTTCATCACAAAAATATGGTGCAGGGAGAAATAAAAGTCGACTGATCACTGGCATTGTAGTGATTGTTGTGTCTGAACTCATGAGCAGTACTAGGGTGGTTGAACTCAAAACCTGGGATCGACTCATTTCATGGGTGTGCCACAGACTCAATAGGGAGGCCAATGCCCAAGATCATTCACTTATATTAGATGTGCTGTTGTTAGACTTACACACTGAGTGACATTTATTCAATTATTTCATGATTTATTGATAATACAAAAATTGTATGATCAAATGCCATTTCCGCAACACGTTAAAATACTGCAAAATTCTTTAAATAAAACCATTCCTTATGGCAGGAGCAAGTGTAATGAAAATAAATTTATAAAGAACCAGAAAATTAGCCGAAGTAGGAAACACGGAGGCTGTGGAGTTAAGTAGCTCTGTTTGACAGGCATTGAATGATGCAGCTGTACACCATCCAAGTGATTGGACATTACTGTCAGCATTAAGTACATGCTACTTGTTATACTGCACATAATACATCAACACCAGCAGACAGACAGACAGCTAGCTAGACAGACAGACATACTCTAGTCTACTACCCTGACATGAAACAGGACATTGCTTCATATATTTCATTCCATGGAGGGTTAAGCAAACCATGTGTGTTACATCTTCACCAGGCACAGTACAGATTTGTTATTCACAGTAGATTACATGCAGGTACACCAAATCAAATTGCTTGGCAGTGGAATGGAACGTCAATGCTTTCTTTTCTATTTGGAAAGGGGTCTCTAAGCCACAACTGTTTGCGGCTTATACTATTTATATACAAAGTTTCTTTATAAAGTCATCCATAGTCTCTAAGACAACAGCAAAAACAAATTCACCAAAACAAATGATTAGCATTGTTATTTTCATCCTGTGTAGAAAATGTAACAATTACCATTCCACCTGAATAATTTTTATAATAATAAGGTGATAAAAAAGTACATGTGTAGGCATATAAGTCATTTCTTTCTGTATTTTTTTTCTTTTTTGTTAAGAGAAACAAAATAGCCACGATTCATTGAATTATGGTTCGCATTAGAGCAACTACCGGTAAATCTAAAATAAATTTCTCCACTGTACATGTAAAAATGAGACGTATTAATTAATAATAATGCAAAAGGACAAGGGTGAATGATGAACACACTGGGCGTTAATTCTTTACTAATATTTACAAACATGACTCATTGTAAGGTAATAAATCTACTTTCACAGCTGCAATACAATGTGTGCACCCTGGATCACTTGTATTTCAGTTACATGCAGGGGTTTATAAGTGTTTCAAAATCAGCTTAGGACATTTTGTACAAAAAGGCAACTATTGTCATGGGATATTTCTAATTATTTACCATATATTGGGTGTAGAACTTGAAATGATTTAACAAAAATAGTACATTTTGAAAAAATACCACAAAATTGCTAATGCCCGAGGAGCATCTAAATCAGTGAACATGTCATTACAGTGAATTACAGTGGGTATCCAAATTAACTAATCAGGAAATCCACCATTTTCAAAAGTCAGATCTCTAGCGAAATAAATGCATGAAATATGAAAATAGTGAATTATTTAATAATATAAGCATTCTACATTTTTTATTGAAACACATTATTATTTAATCACAAATTTCATTTCAAATTCAAACACACCCATCAAACATAGCGGGATTTCTGATATGCAAATGAGTAAGATTAATTTCTAATGCTTGAAGGCAAAGTCATAATGTTGCAAAGAAGATTGATGGTCAGGTGAAAATTGTCCTGATCAGTTTATTTTGGCACCACTGTAAACAGAAATACTTGCATTGATTAAGTTTTACTTACGTAGCATCATCGATCCAGTTTTCATCTTGTAAAATTTCATCTAGAGTAGGATTAGTAAAATTCACATCACTCAGCTCAACACCTAATTCCTCCAGGGTTACATTGGACTCAGATGCCCTCACTAAGGTCACGTTATGTCTATGGAGACACACACAAAGAAGGGAAAAAAACATCAAGTATGTAAACAGAGAAGGTAGAAGTCTTGGGGGCATATGAGGACACTGACATTGTGTCTTAGATATATGAGGCTGTTTAGTGTTCTTTTATGACCATTTCATTGTCAAATTTACAAAACTTTACGGTCCCCGCATAAGATTTTATTCTCTGAAGGTGTATCCCGAAATAAGCTATATTTATAACATGTACTAGATACTGTACTCTCAGAATAATACAGTTCAGGTAGAAGTAACCAACTTTCAACAATACACAATTTCATTGTGTACACATTTAAAAGTATTCAATGTTTTCGCTTGAAGAGCAGGGATCTAGATTTACAGTTCAAACCTTGAAGAAAAGAGGTAAACATCCGCTTGATTTTATCGACCTTCAGAATATTTGTAAACAATACATTTGTCCAGTGTAAACATGCAGAAATAATGACATAGTTATTGTCATATCCGCATGATTACAATCTACATGGGTAAAATATGCAATCATAAAACAACTATGATCATAAAGCATCATACATGGAAGGTTCCCAGCAGTAATATTGGGCAACGCATTACCTGTTAACCACTCTTAACAAAAACACCAAAGTCATTTTAGTAAAAAAATTATGAATTATTATGCAAATTAGGTAATCAATATAAACATATTTTAACATAAAACTGAGCAGATCTGTGCATTGTCCTAGAGATCTATGTATAAATTTTCATTGAAATGTGATGATTAGTATTCGAGATATCAGGGGAAGAGCCAAAAATTGACTAATTAATATACAAATTAGGTGGTTAATATGCATGGATTTTTGTATTCAAAACTAATCAGCCTGTGCATAGTCATAGAGAATCTATGTACAAAAGTTTCATTAAAATCCAGTAAGTGGTTCTTTAGATATCAGTGGAACAGTCATCAGTGGAACAGCAAAATATGTTTAATTATCATGCAAAGTAGATGATTAATATGCACAGATTTCAACCAAAAACTAATCAAATCCACACATTAGCCCAGAGCATCTATGTTTCATTAAAATCCAATATGTGGTTCTTTATATATCACACACACACACACACACACACACACACACACACACACACACACACACACACACACAAGGTTAAAATGATTGGAACTTTGTACATGTATTTTTAAGTTTTGTTGTCCTTTAGACCATTATAATTGTACATTGTACCCAGTTGTACATGTATATAGAAGATATAAGATTAGTAATATAAGATTAATGACATTTTAGCACCAAATGAATTATCTGATTTCATTGACAAAATGTCAAGTGAACATGTATGAGAAATGAGTATTATAGATTTATTGTAGAATTCACACATAATTTGGGGCAAAGAATCTCATAAACTCTTAACTAAATTTATTGAGTATGCATGACGGCAAAAATATAAAGAACAAAAATATGTCTCAATCACAAATAGCAAGAAGTAACATCCCCTAAAAAATCTAGATAAATAATAAGATACCTGGTACATAATAATCATTGTACTTCAGTACAAGTAGAATAACAACCACAAAACACAGAACGCTAGTATTAATTGATAGCACCCACCTGGAGTCGTCATCCTTTAGTTGGCTGAAATTGATCCTTCGGCAATACCTATGCCGACACACCAGTACTAAGGCAACTAGAGAGCCTATAAAAATAATGCCAAGTACTACAATAGCAATGGCAACTACTACATCCATAGCTGAATGGATCAACTTCTTTCAATCTTCCACGTTACACACTCTGAAACACAGAAAAGATTTACAACATTGTCAGTTGACACTAGAAATAAATCTATCATCCACATACACGACTAGTTCATTAATAATTTATTTTCAATAACACAGGTAAGTTACAATTTAACTCTATATCATGAATCAGGATTAGAAGGTTACATCATTGTACAGCTTCAAGCAAAATATAAATGCTTTAGTAGACCTTGATGCGCTATATTTGTGTATGTGTTGGATAACAACATTTGGTCATAGCAAGTTGTCCACTCTATCAAAAAATTAAAACACCACAATACATGTAAGATTCATCATCATATTCCCTGAAAACTTGTATTTAAACAAACAAATTCCTAGTATCTTTTATAGTAATCTTATTTTTTTTATATTTTCATTACCCAGTAACTTTTATTTCTGATTTAGCAAATTAGAAATGTCAACTGAATGATTGAAATAAGGCATTTTTTATTTTATAAATTACATCAACATTGCAAATATGGTATTTTTTCTGCAGGCATGTAACCATGTGGTTTTAATAATTTCAAGACAGCTAAGGATGTAAACTGAACTATGCGACCCAGACCAGAAATGGATTAGATACATGTGAAATCCAGAGAAATATGATAAGGGTTCTAACATTGAAAACTCATTAATCTGGATGAGAAAAATAAATATCTCAAAGCAGGGTTTTGGATTCATGAGATTATAACATACGTATTAGTTTTTAATACGCTTATAATACATACAAGGACATGCGTAGAACATACTGGTATACATGAAACAAGAAATGAAGGCCAAAATATCCTAGTACAATGTATGCACCCCTAAAAGCTATATTCTATTAACAATAGTTGCCTATTAGTTATGACAAACTGAAATATTCACAAATGCTAAATGTCAATATTATACATTTGGCATTTCAATCAAAGTAAAAATATCTTTGTAATATATTTTATATTTACATGTATTATATTTTAATATAAAGCAATTTATTACTGACTGGCAAATGTGTATTATATAGTAACGTACAGAAATATTTGTTTGATCCAAAAAATTAGTTTTTGTTACTGTAAGTATTATAATTCAGGGATCACTCTAATTTTGGCATCAGGCAAGAGTGAAAGGCCTTGGTTTGAATCTAAAAAAAGGGTCACGTACATCCGAAAAGTTTACAGTCCAACAAAAAAAAATTGTTAGTATTTCGAAGTGAGAAAAAAAATACTCAGTGATTTTAATGTAATGTATTGGCTTTAATTTTGTTGGTAATGACAAGTATAAAACATGATTTTGATAACAAACAAAAAATTAATTCCTTGGTTTGTTATGAAACACAAGTGAAATTCAACTTAGTTTCATTGAAAACAAATGTTTTTGGCTGCATATAAACACTGGATGTGAACTGCCATTTTTTTCCATGCACAAGTTGACCAGAAACTATATGTCCTTTGACCTGATAGGCTAAGCTGGTCATCAACCAATCAGGAATCAGGAGTTGTGCCAGCCAAACATACTCAAGAATTCCTACCAACACCAAAGTCATTTGTCAATGTTGCACTTGATCTTTTGACATTAATTAATGTTTTTCTTTTAAAAAAAACACAGAAAATTAGTAATTTTTGGAAGATTTTTCCCATTCACACTAGTTACAATAAAACATTGTATGTTTGAATAAGCGTCAACGACAACAAAAACTTAAATTGTACTGTAATTTAGGCATCAGGAAAGATTGAAATGTTCCTAAATTAGAAACTTACGGTATTACTTTGTTCATTGTTAGCATATTTATTAAGTAATTCACAGACAGATCAATCAAGAAAAACTGTGAGAATGAATACACATGAAAGTGAAAATTAATTGCAAAAAAAATTATACTCCAATACAAGAATACCAAATAAAATGTAATACAGTTTGGGGGTCACCATACTAGGGGACAAACAAGATTTCCAACTTTGTCTTCATGAAGAAAATCAATGGAGTATACATATATTCTATACTAATTTTTGAAAAAAATGTATAGCATTGTAGCATTTTGTTTTCCACATCTCGCAAATATACTAATCCAGTGTTCCAGCTACAGGGAATACATGACCCTTATTTGAAAGGTCACACATCCTGGTGATTTTGGCAGGCTACAAATTTACTAACAAAATTAATTTCACAAATATCATCCAATGAAATGCCAGCAAGAAATTACCATTAAAGTTTAACAAAGCAAAATTGCGGAAATATCATGGCTGTTTTAGGAAACCCAGATGTTGTCAGGATGTGCAACTATAAGTTCACACATTAATAAAGGTACTGGATATACATAAGCCGCAGTTTTGCAATATGAATCTAAAAAACTTTTACTGGGTTTAAAGACAACTCATATTGATACATGAATAAATATAGATATTTAGTCGTGGATTTGCTAAAACATTCAATAAAGGGAAGAGCCTAATATGATAGCTATAGCTAAGAGATTGCTAACATCTCTATGTATTTGCGCTAGTCATTTGCGCTAGTTATCTCCAATAGCGAGGTATGTAACATGTTTTATTTTAGTTGTATCATTAAAACAGATAATGCAGCAGCTACATGTACATGTATCAAGGACAGAATGCCAGAAATTTATAAAGACTGACGTCATTGATGATAGCCATGTAAATTAAACACCTGTTTCTACACTACCATGCAAAGAATCTGGAATGTTAGATGGGCCAACAAACTTATCGCTATAGTCAACTAAGTAAAACAGATACAATGATGATATCAGTGATCATGATACTGTACTCACCTGACTTAGTGCCCATGCTCAACTAACCCCCTCCCTTTCCACACCATCAATAATTCACTTCCACATTGCATTACCAGAATGCTTTCGTGAATACCCAGAGAAATGCATCTGTACAACACAGCATTCTGCTTGGTTATTTTAACAAACATGACCATGAGGTCAAAGGACATTATTTCAGGTCAAATCATGCAGGAAAACATCATGGCAGAAACTGCTTTGCATCAAGAGTTTGTGTATGATCGAACACTTATGACAATGTAGATAATGATGATGATTTCAAATTAGACTGTCTTCCCAGAGACCCTAATAATTTTAAAAATAACATTCTACTAGTACATAATTAATATTAGAATAAAATGTGCATATTTTTTCAGTTTGTAAATTGTACATGTGAAACTAACTTTTATCTTGTTTCCCCTGAATAGACATAATATTTCACAAAGAACGCATTGATATCCAAGTTGCAGTAAGATCTGTTGTTATTGATTTTGCTGCAAGATGTTTTTGAAAAGGTAAAACAATATTGAAAGAATTTTAATTACCGTAACAGGCTTTCATGATAACGCACTAATTTTCACTGAAAAATTCAGTGAAAAAAAAAATCTAGCGAAAATCCTTTTTTTCCTATATTTTACATTGTGACTTCATATGTTTACATTTCTGTCAATCAGCATGCAAAAGTGTGATAACAAATGTTGATTTCTGATAAACACAAGCCCATGATCTGTTGCAATAACATTGCCCATAATTTGTTTCATTAACAGGAACAAATAAATATATATTTGATGTAGCAGCGAACAGTGCTGTTATTTTTATCTTTGAGTGTGAATGACCAGTTCATACCAACAAGTCACTGCGCATGTGTACCCACACAGAATGTAAACAAGTGTGACAACCTATATTCACAGCGGCAATTAATCAGGACTACCGGTATAAGACTGTGTACCAGCTTTTACTTCCATTACTTTGTACTTCTGTATGACTACAAGTGACACATACATGCAGTTGGTTTCGGTTTTATAATTTTTTTCTAACTTAAACATAAACATGCACAACTAATATTACATGTATGTGTTCATAACTAGAACAAGGAGAATTGATTTTATAACAATTATGAACATATCAAAAACAGGAAGCAATACTCAATTGCCTAGAGTCATTGCGGATCATTACAACACAACCACCATATGCTATGCTCAGCCAGACAACCACAATATGTCTACAGATTAAATGACCTTGACTATGGTTTACTTAAACTATCTCAGGTACATGTATCTTGCTGAACCATGACCTAACACATGTATTTACCATGATACAACATCAATGACAAGAGATTATGATGAAAAAGGCAACTATAACTCATCATTATGGCTTGTAGGCTAGAGTGGGAGTGTAAACGGCAACTACAACTCATCATTACGGCTTGTAGGCTAGAGTGTAAACGGCAACTACAACACATCATTATGGCTTGTAGGCTAGAGTGTAAACGGCAACTACAACACATCATTATGGCTTGTAGGCTAGAGTGGGAGTGTAAACGGCAACTACAACACATCATTATGGCTTGTAGGCTAGAGTGTAAACGGCAACTACAACACATCATTATGGCTTGTAGGCTAGAGTGTAAACGGCAACTACAACACATCATTATGGCTTGTAGGCTAGAGTGTAAACGGCAACTACAACACATCATTATGGCTTGTAGGCTAGAGTGTAAACGGCAACTACAACACATCATTATGGCTTGTAGGCTAGAGTGGGAGTGTAAACGGCAACTACAACACATCATTATGGCTTGTAGGCTAGAGTGTAAACGGCAACTACAACACATCATTATGGCTTGTAGGCTAGAGTGTAAACGGCAACTACAACACATCATTATGGCTTGTAGGCTAGAGTGTAAACGGCAACTACAACACATCATTATGGCTTGTAGGCTAGAGTGGGAGTGTAAACGGCAACTACAACACATCATTATGGCTTGTAGGCTAGAGTGTAAACGGCAACTATAACTCATCATTATGGCTTGTAGGCTAGAGTGGGAGTGTAAACGGCAACTACAACACATCATTATGGCTTGTAGGCTAGAGTGTAAACGGCAACTACAACTCATCATTACGGCTTGTAGGCTAGAGTGTAAACGGCAACTACAACACATCATTATGGCTTGTATGCTAGAGTGTAAACGGCAACTATAACACATCATTATGGCTTGTATGCTAGAGTGTAAACGGCAACTACAACACATCATTATGGCTTGTAGGCTAGAGTGTAAACGGCAACTACAACTCATCATTACGGCTTGTAGGCTAGAGTGTAAACGGCAACTACAACACATCATTATGGCTTGTAGGCTAGAGTGTAAACGACAAATACAACTCATCATTACGGCTTGTATGCTAGAGTGTAAACGGCAACTACAACACATCATTATGGCTTGTAGGCTAGAGTGTAAACGGCAACTACAACTCATCATTACGGCTTGTAGGCTAGAGTGTAAACGGCAACTACAACTCATCATTACGGCTTGTAGGCTAGAGTGTAAACGGCAACTACAACACATCATTATGGCTTGTAGGCTAGAGTGGGAGTGTAAATGGCAATTACAACACATTATAATTTTTTTTAATTCAACTTGAATAAGGCATGGAACATCACTTGAATTGGTAGATAAAATAGGTTAACAGAATAATATATTTTCTCTACTAGAAGCGCATAAAAACTAAATAAATTGTACTTGTGCTGAATAATTTAAATTTTACTTATTTTGACCAAAGACACACCCCTATGTAATTTATGTATAAAACACATGCACTACTAATAAAACAAATACAGTACCATAACCAGCCAGAAAACAGAATAAATTCAGTCAAAGAAAATATCTTCAGGCAAATAAAAAAAATAATCCAATGTCAGCATGTCATTTTGAATTTTTTCAAGAATTCACTACAATCTGTCGAAATCGTGTTGAGTATTTATTTGTGTTTTTTGGCTTGTTTCTAAAATTTACACTCCCTCAACTTTTGCCATTTGGCGAATAGGCTATGTTAGGGTTAGTCTGGACAGACCTGACAGACGAAGCACAAGACATATCCGGACTGAAAATGACAGAAAACCACGCATAGCACAGGCAATAATAGAGTAAATACTGTAAATGGATTAAAATATATATATTTTTTGTAATCCTCTTAATATTATTTAATCCACCACATTGATCTCCTTCTGCAATAATAAATGAAAATTTATCTTATGGCATTGTAATTCAAAAAAAACACTGGGTAATCAAACAACACAAGTCATACTAATAAATTGGTATGGATTGTCAAAATTATAATAACGATCATTTTTCGGCAGGAAGACACTACACCCAATTATATAACTTGTTGTGCTAACAGTAACACTGTCACAGGCTGATACAGGGCAGTATATTATGAGTCACGGTTTACTCACACTATTGTTTATATTTATACTGCAACAAGAACCACAACTAACGTAGAGTACGCTCTCTAATTCTAAAGTCGTCAATTAGGGGATATATCTTTCATCTACATGATAATTCATTACATATAATACGCCAGTGTGTACAGGGTTTAGATTGATTCAGTCTGAGAGTTGATTAACGTAAGTAAGGTTAAACGGATGTGTTGACAGAGTCTCAACATTGGGCAAAACACGGCCCACACTGTAAATCAACGGACACACACTCTTTAAAACATAGACATGGGAATAAAGAATCAGCGAACAACTTTAGGGGGATAGTTTATATTACATTATGTTCGAGTTGGTCTCTCGTACTAGTACTAGATGAACTCACAAAAAGTCAAACCGAAAATCAACAAGTTTCGTTCGTCAGGACTTTTCCGTCGGGACGAGCTGATGTTTTGGACTGGAACGACCGTCGATCATGTACGTAAAAGGCTGTGACCTTACCTGTCACTGTTGACCCAAGTTAGGGTCTCCGTAGCTGTGTGAAAAATTATATAACACATGTACAACTCAAATCCTGGGAACAGTATATACTTGGCCGACTTCGTTCAGGACAACAAAGATGGCGATCTTATCCACATCCAATCAAGTGACTTAATATGGTCACGTGACAACCTGTGGCACCCAAACACCTCCGTTGAATAATTACATGTAGGTCACGCACCACAGTATTATGGACGATTCAGAGGACAATGTAGAAATCTTGAAAAACATGGCTACATAAACAACGTGATATGATTAGCACAAAATTATATGGTAAACGAATGGTTTATATAGTTTTTTATAATAAAAATACCGGTAATATTATGCAATGGTTAGAGAGAAAAAAATACAGAACAAAAGTCGAACAAACTAGAAAAAATGAGAAATCAAATTACTGTCTCACGGTGAATAAGAAATCTGTTGTGGGTTAAGTTAGGGCTTGATTATGGACTCGTTTCAATGTACTGGGCTACTTGGATACGCATTTGTTCGTTACCGTATAGCCTGGTGATTTGTTTTTTCTCTAGTGGTTTGCTGCAATACTGTTGAATTACGTTTTATATAAATTATGTGAACAGATACTTACAATTGACATTGTCTTTCACCTGAAAACGAAATGTATTGTTAATATTACATTGATGTCACATACATTTAAGATGTCTGGGTTCTTTTTTGTCTATCTCGTTCAATGCGTAGGTTAACAATAAATAAATAAATAAATGAGTGCTTGAAGCACTTTATATTTTTGAAGAGTTTATCTCACTTCCGTTTTAATTAACTATTTATGGTTGATGCGTTCTAAACAGGGAAGTCATTTTAAGTAACAATCACAGCATAGCATAAAGCAAACAACCGATGTGTCCACAATTCCATGGCCACACAAGCGCGAACTGGAGATACTAGGCAAATCAGTCAAAACGACATTACAAAGTGATGGACCCAATTTGCAGAGAAGTTAAGCATTCATCACATATGATAGTTATTAGACACTCCCCCGATTTGGCTAATTAAGACCAATCATTACGCTAAAGAATGTCCCTTCTACAAAAGTTAACAAAGTGAGCATACATTTTTATTTTTAAACTACTTATTTATTCTTAGTTTTGTTTCCTTTTTGATGGGAGGACTCGCTGTGTAAACTATTCACATGTAATCAAATGTTGTTGTTTTTTTAATAAACATATCTGTGGTTATCTGCGTTTAAAACCAAATTGATTATTAACGACAATGTTGCTATATTTTTAGTTACGATGAGAATCTAATATAATGACTCAAGATACCCATAAAAACTATACCAAAACAAAAACAACAAAAATGCAATGATTCTGTAATTAGACTGACCAATATTCGTGCCTGATATGTGAATTGCAATAGACCTGGGTTTAATACAACAATAAATGCATGCTGCTCAACCAATAAAACAGAATGACCTCATTTAAGCATTACGTCGAAAATTGTATCCTTAGCTGACATTTTTTTCTTTTTATAAGTAACTTTAATGACTTTGTAAATGTTGAGGTTTTGCACTGGTTTCTTCAAGATCAAAGTCCAAATCTGGTTAAACATTACTTTTTTATTCAGCGAGCAATAAGAACAGTCAATATAGGAAGTTTGGACAAACTTATAACTCATAGGAGACACATGAATATATATCCTTGGGACACTGCACCAGTGATGAGGCGACTACTACGGTGCCCGTCGAAGGGTGGGATGTTTGTTTTAAATTTACGAGTTTCTGACATTTTCAGATTTCGAAAGCTTTAGCTGTTGCTCAGATCAACGAGTGAAAACTGAGACGTTACCAAACTATAATTTGGTATTTTTTTAGGTGATTGGAAGGTATGGAAAGAGTCACCGGCGGTAATTGGTGCAAGTCGCGCCCAGTCAAACCTCACACTTGTGATTTCCATTAGAAGAGCGCATTGGATTATGGGAAAATCAATGTTTATCAACACAAATTTCGCACATGCGCAGCGTGACGACCACCGCCTTTTTAACATTGTATGCATTACACGCACTCTTCGAGATGTACATCCGACATTAAAATGATAAACACAGTATTGTTGTAAAAGAACAAACAAGTCAATCATTATACATCGATTTTTAATACAGATTCCATATTTTACAACAATTTTATGGTTCAAGTACTTTTTTGTTCTCACAGAGCAGCCACGGCTTATAATTTTTGAACATCGCTATTACATAAATTTACACATTAATTGTAATTAGCCATTCCGTATATAGGTGACGGTATAATACATGTAGCTATTTCACAGTGTATTTGAGTATTAGTGACAGATGAGTGTCAACATGTTTTCAGAAACTCTCCATTGGCTTTTACAATTATTGAAATAGTGTTTAATCATATAAGTTGTGTTACATATACATAATTTCTGTCCAGCTATTCCCCACGTGTATACATTTAAGCAATTAGGCAAGACGTTTATACTTAAAACAGCACAACTTTCTTTCCGAAGTGGGGTTAATAGTTCGATTGAGCCACACTTTTGACCAATCAACTTCTGTGATACTAAAGCCTGGTACTAAAGAGCCTCTCCTATTTATGTATTAATAAGGATCATATGTCGAATTTCACGTTTAAAAGGAAGCAATACTAATCTCGTGTGAACATACTAATCTCGTGTGAACATCTTTCATAGTATCGGGATTGTCCATAGGGGACCCGCATAATCTCAGGAATTGCACCAAGTGCTCATGAGTAATTTAAATTCCAAAATTCTGCCTCCATTCACTAAGTGAACTAATGCTCACCTTTTCGCCATCTTATCAATCCCCAAAAGCAATAATTGGTAAAACAGATACATATTTTGGTATGATAAGTTCTGGGGTAAAGAAAGCTATTCATAAGGAATGTAAATGTTTCATATTATCTGTGACATTCATTTGCGGTCTGAGTTTATTGAGGATAGATTATTACTGAAACAGGTTATATGAATATGTAGTAGAACCAAACGGTTGTTGAAATCTCACCGTTGGGGGCAGTATTAGCAATATTCGTTCACTGATATATTTATTTATTCATCATGCGAATACTGCTAACTGCCGAAACTTTTTACTGTATACCAAAATGCAAAAAAATGAACTTTGGGGGCGCTAGTTTGATATCAAGCATGGGCCATGAGTTGTTTGTGAAACATTGTTACAAAAAGTTCACATTTATACATTTATGACAAAAGAGAAACACGATTTGGGCGTTGAAATTATTTTATTGTGGAGTTCCTGACAAATCTTACTGAACATAATCGTTTTTGTACAGAACAGCAGAGCCCAAAAATCGCTGCTAAAATAAGATAATGTGGTCTTGAGTGATTACAAAAATAATGTTTGATTTTATGTACGTTTTCATAGTGATGATCATAATAATCAATGGGAGGTGTCATAAGCAATACTATAAAGTGGGAGTGTAATTAACCGTGCGTTTATGACTAGTATCTAGTAAAAAAAACTTAATTTTTGACCATGTGTCATATTTTTCACCTACGATACCGACCAAAAATATCCTTGACATAGAAAATAATAATAACATGCCCCCAAAACAGACACATAATGTTGTACACAAGTTTTCTCCGCACCTACATTTTCATTGTAAGAATGGAGAAAATGAGTAATGAGAAAATGAGTACCTATGGTTGAAAAGACAATAGTTGGAAGAAGTATAGTTCAGTACCGTTGGTGGCGCTCTTATAACATGTAACAAATGTTTGGAGTCTACAGTCTGCTTCAGTCGGCGCAGATCATTTGTGTATATTAGAGACTCTAGGAGCACATTTTGTGAGAGGTATTTACAATGCGACAATGACGTTGTTCGTGGTAGATGCTACAGATTAATTCTGAACATGACTAGTACGATAAATATATTTTACATGTACATGGTTTTGACCGTGACTGAATGGATGTGCCATTGATTTTTTGGCGGCTTCGCACAAAGTTGAAACGCAGGCATCACTCAGGGGATTGGCCCTTACGCAAAAAGAGTTGAGAATTGTTTTAAGATCGGCAGAAATCTCAAATATATCAGTCAGACTGAAAAGATTGACCATACATATATTAGGTCTTTAGTTTTAGGCAAATTGTGCGACCCTTTGGGTGCATTTCTGGACGCACGAAGGCGAAGCGCGTCAAAGTCATATCACCTGTTTGACTGCAGTAATACTTGCCTATGATACATCAGATGCTTATTTTTTCTTCATAGCACTTTAACCTCACCCAGTATTATTAAACATCAAAGTTGGATCGTACACTAAGACACATAACGGGGTGCATTGCAAATATAATGCTGACAAGACAAAAGAAAAGAAAAGGTAACAATAAACGTATGTACTGATATTCATATAACAAATATATTATCAGCTTCATTTGTATTCATTTCAACTTGTATTCTCAACCAACAGCACTAGAGGATGGTCTTTGTAGTGCTGTATTAGAGTCAAATGAGTCAAAGAAATGCAGACAGTCCAAAGAAAATTCTTCTGAAACTACTGAATCAACACAATGCACTCAACATACAAATGTAGTGGTAAGAATAATCAGGTCTAGTCAGTCTTTTAGTTTCACAATCTGAAAAAGAAGCCTACATATTGTTGGTGTACCACAAGGGTATATTTTGCTATTTTGAACATTATTTTAACAATGTATCAAAATTATTCTGAAACTTAGTCCCAACTATTGCAATTTATGAACATCAAACCTACAACTAACCCTAACCCTGATTTTTTCCAGATTATAGAATTACACTAGTGTGTTATTTGTGTTCTTATGACAAGACTACCAAGCACCCTTGTACTTTAGTTTCTGTAAAGCATAGCAGTCGTCCTGCTTTGATACTGAATTGAACAAATGTTTATGTGAGAGGGAAAAATCAACTTCAATAAAAAAAAATGAGCTTGTGTGTTATACTTGACATTCTTATATATCAGATTGAGAAAGACACATGGGTTCAATGTGAGCATAACTCGTGTCTGAAATGGAGAAGAATTTCACAACAAGAAGCTGAACAATTAACAGATAACAGAAAATGGTACTGTAGTATGAACAAAGATAAA